CAAGCACTATCTCAACCAAATTTGGATTGTTCACACTATCATTACCTACCTTTCAACCAATTTACATTGCAATATCTACAATATCTGACATAGTGGAAGCGACCAAGTTAGTCTATCCACAACTGGCAGGCAAGGGGGATTTGACCTGGATTGCAGATGAAAACTGACTGGTTCATCTAATCCAAGCCCTGCCAAAGAAACCATGAAACAGAAGCAAAGAGAATAAGCTGTGTCATTGTTAGACCTTGGACTTTATATGAACAAAACTGTTTCTGATGACATAGTGAATGCTCAATTAGTACAAAATCCACAGACTTCATTGCCAGGATATATATTTCCTGTCGATAAGAAGAGGCATCTAAGACTTCAACCCAAATGGCTCAACAGATTTCCCTGGTTAGCCTACTCATTGCATGTACAAGGTGCACTCTTTAAGTACAGTGTAGTGTTTGGAAAAAAAGTTCGGGATAAGGGTGGTCATCAAAAGCTTGGTGCATTGGTTGCTTAAACATTTGTGTGATGGAAGGATGCAATAGAAGTCTTCAATGGACACCAAAAACAGAGTACCATCAGAACAACTTGTGCTTGGCTGAAAACTTCTTGCTAACTTACAGTGGGAACCCGTAAGAGAAGAAATAAAAAGAAAGCAAAAGAAAACAGAAAGAAATGACTGCCAATTGTGGGAACTATTATCCTTTGTGACCAACAAGAAGTGGTTTAAAGASGGAGCAATTCAGGACCGATTACCTGTGAAGAACCTGTGCACAATGATGGTAATKTCAGGGCCGTGTTGAAATATTGTGCCAGATCAGGAAGAGAATGATCTCAAAAGTAATATTGGGGGGGGGGGGGAGTTTAAATCCATCCCATTTTTTCTGGCTATGGGTCTGCTCACAACCTTCATGTGTTCACCATACACAGGTATAAAACTCATCAGTCCAGTTTCAGATATGTTTGAGATCATTCTTTGTGCCATCYGGCCAGGGCATCTCTATAGTAACAAAACAGCAGTCAACAGGTCTGGTGATCAAAAGGAGCGAGAGAAAGAGTATGTGGTCTAAAGCCCCTTTTATAACTTCTCAGGAACCATAAAGGAAGCTGCATACCTGAACATACACTACATACAAATGGTAAGCAACAGGATCATAGAGTTTCTGTGAGTTTTCTGGGCTGTATGGCCATGCTCCAGAAGCATTCTCTCCTGACGTTTCACCCACATCTATGGCAGGCATCCTTAGAGGTTGTGAGGTGTGTTGTCTGTTTGTCTGTTTGAGACAAGTGTGAATGTTGCAATTGGCCACTTTGATTAGCATTTAATGGCCTTGCAGCTTCAAAGCCTGGCTGGTTACTTCCTGGGGAAATCCTTTTTTGGGAGGTGTTAGCTAGCCCTGATTGATTACTGTCTGGAATTCCCATTTTTTTAATGTCGCTCTTTATTTACTGTCCTGATTTTAGTGTTTTTTCTTAAATACTGGTTGCCAGATTTTGTTCATTTTCATGGTTTCCCCCTTTCTGTGGATTTCAATGTCTTCTCTGTGTAGTTTGACATGGTAGTTGTTAGAGTGGTCCAGCACTTCTTTGTTCCCAAATAATATGCTGTGTCCAGGTTGGGTCATCAGGTGCTCTAAAGCCTTGGCAGACTGTGCAAAAAGAGCACTGTGAACCACCCTGAATCCCCTTCGGGGTTGAGAAGAGCAGTATACAAATATCGCAAATAATAATAATAAGTGTCCGACGTGTGATCCAATACAGCAGCCAGCAGAGTGTCTGCAGTGGACTCATCTTGTTGTGTTTCAAGTAATAGTAATAATAGTAATAATAATCATCATCATCATCATCATCATCATCATCTGCGAACCCCACCTCCTCCAAGGTGAACTGAACCATCTAAACTGGGCTCTACAGGCCAATGGAGACTCCACCACAGACATCAGAAGAACTGCAAGACCAAGAACAAGCCACAACAGTAAAGACAAAAATCCATCCAGTGTTCTTGCCATGCATCAAGGGAACCACTGACCGCATAGGGAAGCTGATGAGGAAACACAACATACAAACTATCTACAGACCCACCAAGAAAATTCAACAACTGCTACGTTCAGCAAAGGACAAGAGGGATCCTCTCGCTTCTGCAGGAGTCTACCATATACTATGCAGCTGTGGACAAGTCTACACAGGGATCACCAAATGCAGCATTGCCCAAACACGAATCAAGGAACACGAAAGGCACTCCATACTAAGACAACTAGAGAAGTCAGCCATAGCAGAGCACCCAATGAAGCAACTTGGACACAGCATATTATTTGAGAACACAGAAATGTTTTTTTTTCCATGTCAAGAGCGACTTAGGAAACTGCAAGTCACTTCAGGTATGAGATAATTGGCTGTCTGCAAGGACGTTGCCCATGAGACACCCGGATGTTTTACCTTCCAGTGGAAGGCATCTCTCATGTCCTTGCATGGGAAGCCAGAGCTGACAGACGGGAGCTCAACCCGCTCTTCCCAGCTGGACCATTCTAACAAGCACCATGTCAAATGACACAAAGAAACCATTGAAATCCACTAACTTGTGGACAAGTTGAACAGAAAGGAGGGAGCCATTAAAATGAACAAAATCTGGCTATCAGGATTTTTAAAAAACTCAAAAATCAGGATAGTAAATAAAGAACAGCACTCAGAAAACAGGGGAATCAATCAGGGCCAGCTAACACCTCTCAACCCCCCCCCTCCCCCAAACCCGGCTATGGGCCTGCTTGCAGTTTCTCAAGTTGCTGCTCACACACACACACACACACACACACACACAACCCTTGCCTAGCTTCCAACTTCTGAGGATGCCTGCCATAGATGTGGGCAAAACATCAGGAGAGAATGCTTCTGGAACATGGCCACACAGCCGGGGAAAACTCACAGCAAATCAGTGATTCCGGCCATGAAAGCTTTCGATAACACGACAAACAGGACCATAGATAAACATAACTAGAGAAGGCTTGAAGAAGGTTGTCATATCCAACCTGGACCTCCACCTGCAGCAAACCTCTCCTAAATTCCCTCAGTTCCCCTCCGCCTCTACTTTTGGACCATCAATGGTCTTCCACAGTGTTTCTCAACCTGGGGGTCGAGACCCTGAAGGGAGGGGTTGCAAGGAGGTGTCGTGTCACCAAAGACCATCAGAAAACACAGTATTTTCTGTTGGTCATGGGGGTCTCTGTGTGGGAAGTTTGGCCCAATTCTATCATGGTTGGGGTTCAGAATGATCCCTGATTGTAGGTGAACTATAAATCCCAGCAAGTACAACTCCCAAATCTCAAGGTCTAATTTCCCAAAACCCCACAAGTGTTCACGTTTGGGCATATGGAGTATCTGTGCCAAGTTTGGTCCAGATCCATCATTGTTGGACTGCATCAATAGGAGTCTAGTGTCTAGATCCAGGGAAGTCATGCGACCCCTCTATTCTGCCTTGGTTAGACCACACCTGGAATATTGTGTCCAATTCTGGGCACCATAATTGAGGAGATATTGACAAGCTGGAATGTGTCCAGAGGAGGGCGACTAAAATGATCAAGGGTCTGGAGAACAAGCCCTATGAGGAGTGGCTTAAGGAGCTGGGCATGTTTAGCCTGAAGAAGAGAAGGCTGAGAGGAGACATGATAGACATGTATAAATATGTGAGAGGAAGTCACAGGGAGGAGGGAGCAAGCTTGTTTTCTGCTTCCCTGGAGACTAGGACGCGGAACAATGGCTTCAAACTACAAGAAAGGAGATTCCATCTGAACATGAGGAAGAACTTCCTGTCTGAGAGCAGTTCAGCAGTGGAACTCTCTGCCCCGGAGTGTGGTGGAGGCTCCTTCTTTGGAAGCTTTTAAGCAGAGGCTGGATGGCCATCTATCAGGGGTGATTTGAATGCAATATTCCTGCTTCTTGGCAGGGGTTGGACTGGATGGCCCATGAGGTCTCTTCCAACTCTATAATTCTATGTTAGAGTCCACAGTGCTCTCTGGATTGGATGTAGGTGAACTACAACTCCAAAATTCAAGGTCAATGCCCACTAAACCCTTCCAGTGTTTTCTGATGATCATGGGAATTCTGTGTGACAAGTTTGGTTCAATTCCATCGTTGGTGGAGTTCAGAATGCTCCTTGCTTGTAGGTTAACTATAAATACCAACAACTACAACTCCCGGTGACACAGTGGGTTAAAGCACTGAGCTGCTGAGCTTGTTGACCAAAAGGTCGCAGGTTCGATTCCAGGGAGCGGCGTGAGCTTCCGCTGTCAGCCCTAGCTTCTGCCAACCTAGCAGTTCGAAAACATGCAAATGTGAGTAGATCAATAGGTACCGCTCTGGCGGGAAGGTAACGGCGCTCCATGCAGTCATGCTGGCCACATGACCTTGGAGGTGTCTACGGACAACGCTGGCTCTTCGGCTTAGAAATGGAGATGAGCACCACACCCCAGAGTCAGACATGACTGGACTTAATGTCAGGGGAAAACCTTAACCTACAATTCCCAAATTAAAAAATCAATTTTTTAAGTTTGGTTCAATCCCATCGTTGGTGGAGTTCAGAATGCTCTTTGATTGTAGGTGAACTATAAATCCCAGCAACTCCCAATTAGGGCCAACTTTGGTCCAGTGAATGAAATACATCCTGCATATCAGATATTTACATTAAGATTCATATCAGTAGCAAAATGACAGTTGTGAAGAAGCAACATCATAATGCTATGGTTGAGGGTCACCACAACTTGAGGAACCTATTATTAGGAAGGTTGAGAAAGACTGGTCTTCCAGATGCGTTGGACTCCAACTCCCAGAATTCCCGAGTGTTGGCCAAGCTGACTGGCTCCTGGGAGTTGAAGTCCCAAAGTGCTGAGGAGAGCAGCTGGGGGGGGGGGGTATCCCTTCTCAGCAGAGGCAGGAGCGCGCGCAGGCGGGAGCCAATCAGGAGCCGGCGCGAGGCGAGGAGGGGGCGAAGAGGGGAGAAAGCCGCGGCCCTTCCTTACCATCCTTTGCTTCTTGTTCTCGGACATGTTGCTGCAGAGTCCCGGCTGGAGCGCGAGGGAGGGCGAGAGCGCGAGGGCAGAGAGCAGCTCCTTCCAGCGGGGCCGGGCTCGGAGAGGCGGCGAGGGACGGAGGCAGCGAAAGGGGGGAAAAGGGGAAGGTTTAAGAGCCAGCCGAGGGGACACGTCGCACTTCCCTCCTGGACCGGCCCCGCGGCTCGCCCTCTTCCTCGGGCTCCACCCTCCGCCCAGAGAGAGACTGAGGGAGGGGAAAGGAAAGCCAAGGCAACGAGAAGCCTCAGTGGGCTCTCGCCAGCAAAGTCCAAACGCCTCACAGAACTGCACAGAAGGCGGGCTTCCTCGCATTTGGGCCCACAAGGGACCAAAGCTCAAGCCCTCGCCCTGGAGCAGCTTCTGGAGGATAGCCAGCAAAAAAATTCAGAAGGGTGTGAAACTTTTCTCCCCCCTGTAATGACTTTTGAGGTCAAGTGTCTTCAGAGTTCTCAACAAGGCCCTGAAATGACAAAAACGGGCAACAGCGACCGCATTGTCTGTAGCTTCAAACAATTTTTCCTCAGTACATGAGGCAGGACATTGCGGACAAGCATACAGATGCGGATTTGTCTGTTCTGCTCCACAGTCACACAAAGTTTCTCAACCCTCACAAGCACCTCATGAGTGCACAGAAGGCGGGTTTCAGTTTTTGTCATTTTAAGCAAAAAAAATTCAGGAGGGTGTGAAACTTTTCTCCCCCCTGAGATGACTTTTGAGGTCAATGTCTCTTGAGATCTCAACAAGGCCCTGAAATGACAAAAACGGGCAACAGTGACCGCATTGTCTGTAGCCTCAAAGAATTGTTCCTCCTTATATGAGGCAGGACATTGCGGACAAGCATACAGATGCGGAGTTGTCTGTTCTGCTCCACAGTCATACAAGGTGGAGGATACTTCTCTGTCAGTGTTTCTCAACCCTCACAAGCACCTCACGAGTGCACAGAAGGCGGGTTTCTTCGCATTTGGACCCACAAGGGACCAAAGCTCAAGCCCTCGCCCTGGAGCAGCTTCTGGAGAATGCTTTTGCGATGATGAATGAAGTCAGGCTCATAGACAGCAAAAAAATTCAGGAGATTGTGAAACGTTTCACCCCTCTGAGATGACTTTTGAGGTCAATGTCTCCTGAGACCTCAACAAGGCCCTGAAATGACAAAAATAAGCAACAGGGACCGCATTGTCTGTAGCCTCAAAGAATTCTTCCTCCGTACATGAGGCAGGACATTGCGGACAAGCATACAGATGCGGAGTTGTCTGTTCTGCTCCACAGTCGCACAAGGTGGAGGAACATGAAAGGCACTGCAGACTAATTCAACCAGAGAAGTCAGCCATAGCAGAGCACCTGATGAACCAACCTGGACACAGCATATTATTTGAGAACACAGAAATGCTGGACCACTCTAACAACCACCATGTCAGACTACACAGAGAAGCCATTGAAATCCATAAGCATGTGGACAATTTCAACAGAAAGGAGGAAACCATGAAAATGAACAAAATCTGGCTACCAGTATTAAAAAACTCTAAAATTACAACAGCAAAACAGCAGAGAGGAAACAACCAGGCACATCTTAACACCTCTCAACAAAAGATTCCCCCAGGCTCAGCCAGGCCTTCAAATGCTAATGAAGGTGGTCAGTTGAAACATTCACACCTAGCTCCAGCAGAGAAGAGCTCTTTGCCCCACCCCAGCCATTCCACAGATATATAAACCCATTGTCCTAATTCCAACAGACCTCACTACCTCTGAGGTTGCTTGCCATAGATGCAGGCGAAACGTCAGGAGAAATGCCTCTAGAACATGGCCCTATAGCACGAAAAAAACCCACAAGAACCTAGTGATTCCAGCCATGAAAGCCTTCGACAATACATTGGAGGATTCTTCTCTGTCAGTGTTCCTCAACCTGCACAAGCGCCTGACAAGCACACAGAAGGACACAAGGGTCCAAATGCGGCTTCTGGAGAATGCTTTTGCGAGGATGAATGAAGTCAGACCCATAGCCAGCAAAAAAATTCAGGAAGGTGTGAAACTTCTCCCCCCTGTAATGACTTTTGAGATCAGTGTCTCCTGAGATCTCAACAAGGCCCTGAAATGACAAAAATGGCCAACAGCGACCACATTGTCTGTAGCCTCAAAGAATTCTTCCTCAGTACATGAGGCAGGACATTGCGGACAAGCATACAGATGCGGAGTTGTCTGTTCTGCTCCACAGTCATACAAGGTGGAGGATTCTTCTAGGTCAGTGTTCCTCAACCCTTATGAGAGCGCCTCATGAGAGCACAGAAGGTGGGTTTCTTCGCATTTGGACCCGGAAGGGACCAAAGCTCAAGCCCTCGCCCTGGAGCAGCTTCTGGAGAATGCTTTTGCGAGGATGAATGAAATCAGGCCCATAGCCAGCAAAAAAAATTCAAGGGGGTGTGAAACTTTTCCCCCAATGAGATGAATTTTGAGGTCAGTGTCTCCTGCGATCTCAACAAGGCCCTGAAATGACAAAAGTGGGCAACAGTGACCACATGGTCTGTAGCCTCAAACAATGCTTCCTCTGTACATGAAGCAGGACATTGCGGACAAGCATACAGATGCGGAGTTGTCTGTTTGGCTCCGCAGTCGTACAAACTAGAGGATTCTTCTATGTCAGTGTTCCTCAACCCCCACAAGCTGGCCCGTAGCCAGGATTTTGTTTTGGGGGGGGGCTGAGTTTGGTTCGGGGGGGGGGGCTGAGTCTGAGTGAAAGAGGGTCTACCCTAGCAAACCTTTTGTATCGTTACCCCAATACCCCCATGCATATGGGATATATTGAGCATGGTGATCAGATGTGGGCAGTTTAAATAATGTACCAGTAAGGCCTTCTCGCGGACCACCATCAGAATTTCGGGGGTGGGGGCTGAAGCCCCCCAAGTGCCCCCCCCTCGGCTACATGCCTGCCCACAAGCGCCTGACGAGCACACAGAAGGACACAAGGGTCCAAATGCGGCTTCTGGAGAACATTTTTGCGAGGATGAATGAAGTCAGGCCCATTGCCAGCAAAAAAAATTCAGAAGGGTGTGAAACATTTCCCCCAATGAGATGACTTTTGAGGTCAGTGTCTCCTGAGATCTCAACAAGGCCCTGAAATGACAAAAATGGCCAACAGCGACCACATTGTCTGTAGCCTCAAAGAATTCTTCCTCAGTACATGAGGCAGGACATTGCGGACAAGCATACAGATGCGGAGTTGTCTGTTCAGCTCCACAGTCTTAAAAGGTGGAGGATTCCTCTCTGTCAGTGTTCCTCAACCCGCACAAGCGCCTGAGGAGCACACAAAAGGACACAAGAGTCCAAATGCAGCTTCTGGAGAACGTTTTTGTGAGGATAAATGAAGTCAGACCCCTAGCCAGCAAAACAATTTAGGAGGGCGTGACCCCCCCGACCCCCCCCCGAGATGACTTTCGAGGTCTGTGTCTCCTGAGATGTCAACAACGCCCTGAAATGACAAAAAAGGGCAACAGCGACCGCATTGTCTGTAGCCTCAAAGGATTCTTCCTCTGTACATGAGGCAGGGCATTGTGGACAAGCATACAGCAGCAGAATTGTTCTGCTCCAAAGTCCACCTTGTATAGGTGGAGGATTCTTTTAGATCAGTGTTTCTCAACCTTCCTAAGGCACACAGAAAGAGGGTTTCTTCGCATTTAGACCCACAAGGGATCAAAGCTCAAGCCCTCACCCTGGACCAACTTCTGGAAAATGCTTTTGCGAGGATGAATGAAGTCAGGCCCATAGCCAGCAAACAAATTCAGGATGGTGTGAAACTTTTCCCCCCCTGAGATGACTTTTGAGGTCAATTTCTCCTGAGATCTCAACAAGGCCCTGAAATGACCATCATTGTGCAAAGGTTCTTCATGGGGAATAGGTCCTGAATCATTTCTCCCTCTTTATTTATTTCATATCAAAAGCATTGCATAAACTAGTAAAACTGATTAAAAAATAGAAGGAGCACAAGCCACTAAATATATTTTCATCAAAAATGGGCAACAGTGACCGCATTGTCTGTAGCCTCAAACAATTCTTCCTCTGTACATGAGGCAGGATATTGCGGACAAGTATACAGATGTGGAATTGTCTCTGGGGGAGGGAGGGGGGTAAGCAAGTGTGTCAACGGACGAGCATACAGATGCGGAGTTGTCTGTTCTGTTCCACAGTTGCACAAAGTGTGGGATTCTTCAAGGTCGGTGTTTCTCAACCTTCCTAATGCTGAGACCCCTTAATACAGTTTCTTATGTTGTGGTTACCCGCAACCATAAAATTATTTTTGTTGCTACTTCAAAACTGTAATTTTGCTACTGTTATGAATCGTAATGTAGATATATGAAGGATATATTCTCATTCACTGGACCAAATTTGGCACAAATACCTGATACGCCCAAATACTGGTGGTGTGGGTTGATTTTGTCATTTGGGAGTTGTAGTTGCTGGGATTTATAGTTCACCTACAATCAAAAGTTTGACCAGGAATTGAACAAAACTTAGGGGCCCGTTTAGGGCTCATAGTCCCACTGCTCCAACCAATGATAGAATGGGGCTCTTTCCACACAGAACCCCCATGACCAACAGAAAATATTGTGTTTCCTGATGGTCTTTGGTGACCCTCTGCCCCTGCCCCCCCCCCCCAGGGGTCCTGACTCCCAGGTTGAGAAACGCTGTTCTAGGCAGTGCCATTTTGCTAGGTTGTCTTTTGATCTGCCCACTCCACTTCTGGGTCAGTTCAGGGACTTCCAAGTTGCCCTTTCTTGGTTTGCCCCTGGAGGCAGGCCCTCATGGGGGGCCATCCAATTGGGATTTCCAGAATGATACTCTTGATGTTGCTGAGGGAACATTAAGAGGAGTTCCCTCAAGAAGCTTTTTGTTGATTCGAGTCTACTGGGAGGAAGCTGATAGACATGCAGTGGATGGCATTCACGGTGTACAACCTTATTTCTCTCTCAGTTAGCAGCAACTTCCTGTCACACATCGGGGGGTGGGGGGGGCAATACCAGCTAGCTTGTAGAGTTTATCAACAGGTGTAGGTTTAAGACATCCTGTGATTATTCTGCACGTTTTGTTTAATGCTATGTTCACCTACTTCCACAAAGGACAAGAGTTTCCACAATAGGTAGATGTTTCTTTCTGTTTTCTTCTGCTTTCTTCTTCTTTCCTTTATCATGACAG